TGGGACTATTTGGAATCCCATGACGCTGGAGGATGAGCTGTTTAGAGTTAGAAGACAAAGTGCTTTGAAACGCAATGACCTTTAATGGATTCTCACTATTTTCTTGCATTTAACATTTCCTTAATTCCCATCTGACTGACAACATGCAATACAACAGACACTTAGTACACAACAGAATATTATAGTCATGTTTTTTTTATTTAAAAAATTACATCAGAAGAAGATAAAATATATTGAATACTTCATTTTTTATTTAAGTTGCAAAAACAGACATTTTACTAACAGTAACACTGACTTCACTTTTGGAAGACCTATCAGGGAAGAAAATAATTTCTCATTTACAAGGAGAACAGACTTCACTATCCTTGATGATAAACCATTGTAAGAGAATCTCTAAAAAATATAATCTACCAAATGTTCTGCAACAACTTCTGACACCATGGTGATTGTCAGAGGGAAAAAATCTGCCACAGAAAAGGATGTGATGTTTGAAACATAGTTTAATTAACCAAACAGAATTTAAATGTTTTCACTTAAAGCATCTATGCACTTAATTAAGCATGCAGAGAGGGAGAGTAATGCTGAGTCCTCCATATGGTGAATAACTGATTAAATGACTTGAAAGATAAGTGAAAATAGCTGTTTGTTTTTTTAAGTTGATTTCAACAAGTCAATTTGCAAAGCCTCACACTTAAAATGATACTTTAGCTAACGGTACACGCACACCAGCCCATCCCAACTTTATTAACGACACAACACCCTGTGATGTATTCAGTGATAGTGCACTGAGTTGCAGCAAGTTAGGACAGAAATGCTCCAAAGATAAGTATGTCAAGAAATTTGTACCAAAAGCTAATCACAAATCAGATCAAATTAAAAACTTAGAAAAGTACTGATTTTGTCTACCATTTGTAGATGGACAGAAAAAGGAATCTATCAAGTAAAAATGTGCATCTAAATAAAACTTAGATTACCTGGTGCAACACAAACACATACAGTACTGTAGGTCCATTTTCAGGCCATAAAGGCCCATGGGGAATGGGAGTCAAGGGCCACCATTTTTCTTGACCATCCAACACTGGAGGTAGAGGTGATGTGGTCAGCATCAAATTCCAGCCAGCCTATTACCCCCAGAAGGATTAACCCCCAGAACTCATTTGGAAAACAGGCTGAGTGGACCTGGGAGCCGTCTGGAAGGATTTAGAGCTACATCACTTGCCCCTACCTAGGATTGAACCCAGGACCTTGTGGTCAGAAGCTAGAGGCCCTTGCCATCTGAGCTGCCACAGCTCCAACAGAGATACATACACATTGAATATATAGTGTGCCAAATCTGTGTAAAAATCACAAATACCTCAACTTCCTTTATTCAAAATCCTCACTGTAAGAAGTATATTCAGATTCTGTTTAATGGCATATGTCATTGTTGAGAACAGTCTTTTTTGGAGGAGTTTAAGTAAGATAATGTGAAAAGTAAAAGTAGTGGTCCTTCAGTGAATTATTGAACATAATAAGCACTAGTACAAACTGTAAACACTTCAATGTAAAGATGAAGTTAGTGATTAAGGATAATACAAGGTTTACAGATTTTGCGGACATTGCGGTATTTATATGCATTTTTATCAATCTTAATTACATATAATAATAAGTAAAACAGTATTCAGTATTTACCTTTCATGTTTGTCTTTTTATTATATATTGTACTGCTGTGAGATTATTGTGCTTTATTTGTTTGAAGATACAACTACCACCTGCTGTGACTGTAAACACATATTAAAAAAACTAACTTTTCATGAAACTACTTTTAACATGCTTTTAAGTATACACTTACAAATTAATCTCCACATTTTATTTCATTTATACTAATATAATTCTGTAAGTGCATAGGAGGAACTGTGTGATTAATAATATGTGCAAAATGAAAAACACTAATATCTGGAGGTGTTTAGCACACTCTTCAGCTCTTGCTTGTGCTTATAAAATAATAACTTCACAAATCATCACTGAAATCTCACTTTCTTCCAGGCTGCCCCATTATAAGTTAATTGAAACTAATTTATTTAGTTTGAAATGTATTTCCAGCAAACTGAAACGATGCATTTATTACTTGTTATTTTCAAACACAATTAAAAAATAATATATAAATATATACATACTGCAAATGACATGCATATAACAAATTCATTTAGGCCCATTTAAGCACATTAGTAACACACCATGTGGCAGTAAGACTGGGACTACAAGAAGACCCCTTGGCGATTTATTTTATATTAAATCTCTAATGGCCTCTCTCCTTAGCTTTGTAAAATATGCACAAAAGTCCAGACTATGCAGCCATTGAAATGAATGGTTATTTATTCACTAAACGAGAACCCCATGTTTAATGTTCCTTGGACATAAGGTAGTCTAGGGAAGTCGCATCCCTACAGCTACATACATCATTTATTTTACACATACCCTAATATCTCACAACAGGCACCAGGAAAAATATCTTTGTAAAAAAACATTATAAGTTGCAAAGTATTTTGTATAAAAATGCAACCACAGGACCACAAAAAATGAATTTATTTACAATATTCCTTTTGACTTCCTCACAGACCCACTAGTAAAGTGCTAACTCTTCTATGTCTAGTCTTCGAGAATCTTAATTTTGGAAAGTAACATCACAATTCTGCTTCAAACCCATCCATCTGCAATTAGGGTTTAGACTCATCTCACTGCATGATTCTAAAAGTTGTGGTTAACTTACTGGCAGTCGCAGGCCTAATCAGTCTTCAGATATGAATACATACATTAGATTTACAAACCATTAACTATTCATAAATGATAGCTTTTCAAACTTGAGTCTAAAAGTGCAAGACAAATCAATAACTTCACAGCAGTGTTTCAGCACCTACAATACGTCCGATGTATGGGGTGTGTCCAAAGTGTCATTTTATTTGTAACTTAGTAATAATGTCTTCAGAAGACTTTTTTAGAATACACGTGTGTAAATTTATATGTCATTATAAGCAATTATTTCTTTACGTTTCTGCCTTCTAATGGTAAACATTTCATACGACATCTGTCAGATTTCACCACTAGGTGGCACTAAGATACCCAAATCCAGAAATAGTAAAATATTAGAAAACTTCAAAAGTAACGTAAATAAGGAACTATAAACCAAAATTCTGGTAAAATAATAAGATAAAGTAGATTCTGCAGCCAGACATTTTAGGTGTTTCAGTGGGGATGACATAGCAAAGGGGTGGCTCATAAACCACAGACCTGTAAATCAGGGCAAAATCAAAGAAAAGAGAGGCTGTGGGTAAGACAAAAAACAGAGGAAGAAAAATGTCATAGAATGTGTTGAGGAGTAAATCAAATGTCAATTGTTGGGGGTCCTGCCTCTGCTGAAATTAAAATTTAAACAGCTGCTGAGTATCAAAATATACTTAATTGAAGTGTAATGTATTTGTTCTACATATATGCTTGTTTTAGGGTATCATTATATTATTATAATTTCATCTTATTTTTTTAATTGTAAAAGTAGCACATCCTTTAAAAGCATTTCGATTCAGTATTCACACTTCAATAATTACCTACATACATAAAGAATTTGCTTAAAATTAATAACTTGATATCTTTAACCAGAATTGTCATAATACTTTGGAAGGTATTTTATATTCTCTGAATGAAAAAAAAAACATTTTATTTGTACCTCTTTTTAAACTGAAGGCAGTATATCTGCACAGCGTAGCATTTAAGAAATGTATTTTTATGCCTTAAACATTCCATAAATTCAGTACAGACTGAATTACAGACACAGAAGCTGTCTTTTAAATTTAAAAGGTTTGTCTAATTTTTGTAAATGAAGGTGTCTGAAAACATTGGTGACACACAAAATTTGAAATCCTAAAGTGAATTTGAAAGTGTTGTCAACTCTAAGCTTTGCTTAGAACTTGGTTATTAAAATGCAGCTGTTGTTTACAATTATTAACATTTTCACGGTATGTTGAAAAATAAAATTAATTTAAAGGAGTGTTCTAAGCTTTGTAGACCTGGTTATTAAAATGCAGCTGCTGAGGTAAAAATTCTTTTCGGTTTTTACAGTATGTTAGAAAATAATATTCTAATTTAGATCATCACATTACTATAAGCAAACTCTTTAGGTGAAACTAAAATTTTGGCTGATGTAGTTTCTAAAACAAACTGCAATGTGGAAAGGTATACAGATGAATATAAATTATAACGTTGCAAATCATTATGAAACACTACGAATTCATTAGTACTGCTTGTATCAACCAGATAAAAAATGTGAAAGAGCACAAATGACAAAATGAAGTTGGCAAGATGAAAAATAGCACCAAGGCTCTCACTAATATGTTCAAACACCAAAGCAGTACTTTTCTAGAAAGGCAAGGTTATCTAAATAAATGGCTGATCCACTTCGTTATCATAGGTTCATAGCTAGTTTTTTTTTCCGATACCTCCATCATTACAGTATGTGTTGCAAACATGTTTTATTTTACTGAGAAATGCAGCAGGTCAGCAGTTCTACTATGAGGAAGTTCAGCATTTGACTGTTATGATTCTGCCTTACTTTATAAGGTTTATTTATTGTATATGCACTGTTAAAATGCAGATGTAAGAACCCATCTGTCCCCTAAAATTTCATTTTAATTGTGCCAAACTGGCACAATTTTACCTACTCTTTGAAGCAAGCAAATCCCTGTTGAGAGATGTCATTGCTGGTCCACACCTCAGAAAATGGGGGTATAATTTTTCATGTGTGATGTTTTAAAACATTGTGATAAATCACTTCTCAACCAAAGGGATATTAATATGGATTTTATGCAAATCAGTCTGCAAACTAACAATTGGAACTACAATGAGTAAGGTGGTATGTCAGTCGTACACTGACAACGAGAAAATAAGTGGTAACTTTCTTGAGTGAGAGGCCCACCCTTTAGCTCTGACACTGCTATACTTCTTTAAGTCTCCAGTAAAGAATTGCTTACCTCAAGGTTCATGTAAACAGTGCTAATTGCCACTTTAATATCTCCATCTGACAGCTCTTTTATTTCCTTTAGCAGCACCTGCTCCATATTGGTACCTAAAACACATTTAAAAATGTAAATGTTAGGTAGGTCAAGAAATCCTGTGATACAAATTTGTCTGAAAATGTTAAAGTAATAGTATCTGCTTCAGAAAAAAAACCATCTTCAATTTCCACATTTTTTTAACTGTAGGTTCAATTACTAAGGATTAGGACTAAATGTCTAATGAGCCCTTTGCAATACACTGTCAGAACATAAGGACCTAATTTAAATTAAAACAATCAAAACTTCAACCATTTAAGCAAATTCAAACTTCCTTTGTGTAGGACTGGGTTTGGAATTTGTAACCAGAAGATTATTCTGAAATTGTTAAACAAATCTAAATTATGTAATCATATTTTTTTAATTATTTGTCTCGTTATATTTTATAAACATTACTCTACAAAGGTTAGAAAATCCACTAAGTCCACTAAGTATCAGTACTCATCCCAAATGATATCACTAAAAATAAGTATGTTTCAATACAACAGATCTTCTCCCTAGTAAAATCAATTGTTTTCATGTTTACATTGTTAAAATTGAGGCTTCTGAACCAAATAATTGAAATAGTCAGATCTACAATGAGATTAACTGTTCTGCTGAAACAAAGTAGAAGGCTAATTAACCAGGGACAGCTCTAATGGGCTCTAAAATGATGCCGGGGCACATCCTAATTGTTTAATCGTCTACCTGAAAACAATGAAAAGCTGTCATTAAGGTCTGATATTGGAACGCTGCATTAGCAAAGCCAGAAAGGCATTCAGAAGGAAAACACAACTGGGTCTGCATTATAGACCTGCACAGCAAGACGTCTAAACAGATCTGTTTTGAAATGTCTCTTGAAAAATATCCCTCTTATGCATTTTATTTTATTAAGTGACATTAATTACCACTATACACTAACATTGCAGCCATTCAATAGAAGTGTTGAACTACATATAATGCTCATTTGTAAAAAATATCATGTGAAGAAAAGTATCTCTTACATACACAACATGAGCCGTATCTGTAGCTGATAGTGTGATCTAGAGAAAGGAGAAGCTACAAGCTACACTTCTACAGAAATGTGTCAAATTCCAGACAGAAATATTTCAGAAACACTTGTAATGAATATAAAGATTTATTCAGAACAATAGCATTACTCTACTGAACAAGATATAGGCTGTTTATCTTTCTTAATGAAAAACAACAATATAGATGGTAGCTTATTGATTCAAGAATCTCATCCAGCCATTTCTTGAAAATTGTCAAATGAATTGAAGCAACAAAACACCTGGTTGTCCACAGGTAGTATGGGATATGCTTTATGTAAACTCTGCAACATTCTGCTAGAATAAATGAAAGGATAATTTGATTGATTAATTGATTGATAAAATCTGATGGACAACAGAGATTCCTTTGTCATTTTTTAAACATACCATAACTATATGCTTCAGTATATACTGTAATGCCTCTAATTTCTCTAATTTGATGTGAAGTATCTTGTCATCTCACACTGAAATGCCTTGTGTGATTGAGTCTGTCTGATACAGTATGTTACAACGCAATGAACAATAGATTCAATAATCCACCATGCTTTCTAGGTTACGCTTAACAATTCAGTCAGTGGGTTAAAATAATCAAATGACTTAACAAATGTTGAGGTACACAACTGGTCAATCCTAGCCTAACTAAGCAGCATGAGTGTTATTGTATGATTAGTTGAACTACCAACTTCTTAACTGATATAATTACTTGATCAAATGATTATTTTTCTTCCCAAGTATGTAATAACCAGGCAAAGAAAACTTTGGATTCCCTGGACCTTAGTTACTACTGATGAAGTCCTAATTAGTGTTACTGTATTAGTCCACAAAGTTATTTATTCAGGACTTGTGAATAATAACTGGAACTAGACAACACCTTCGATTTTGTATTGACTGAAGACCAATAAAAAACTGCTGTGAAAGGAGTTGTGTTTCCATACAAAACACAAAGGTAAATGGAAGGTTCCAGAAAACATACCTTTGCAAAACCAAATCATCATAACAGAGAATGCAGAACATCTGTAACATACATTACTATAAAATAAAATGGCAAATGGCCAATTAGGCACAAATGGAAAATCAGATTACCTTAAATGATCAGACAACATAAATACCATGAATACGAAAAACTGTGTTTCATATACAGTACAAGGAAAGCAATATTAATCTCTCCTTATGACTAGCTACTGAATTCAGTTTTAGTTTTATGCATGCTTGCATTACATGAATAAATAACTGTAAGTTCTTGTAGATGGACAGTTTGTGTGTGAGTGCACAATGTTAAATAAACAGAAAGATCTTTTGTGCAATGTAAGTTTGCATACTACAGTATATGTTCAGTTATCAATAACAGCATCTTTAATTTACCTTGGGATTCAAGCTTAGGTGATTTTAAATTGATGGCACGGTCTTGTATACCCAGGTCTTCTAACTTCTTTTCCAGTTCACTGATCAGCTCTTCATGGTCAGGTGTAAGCTTGCCGTGTTTGGTAGACTTCTTTAGAGATTGAAACAGCAAAGCTTCTAAAATAAAATGAACAGGCTACCGATAAGCAATCAAAGCTACACAAGAACACAAGAAAGGTTACAAATAAGAGAAGCCCATTCAGCCCATCTAGCCTACTTGCTAGTAAGTTAAGTCAACCAAGGATAACATCTGCCCATTTTTGGATGCCAGGGTATCAGCTTCAAAAACATAGCTTGTAACTGGATACTCCCACAGCCCTTTGTATGAAGTTGTACCTCCTGTTCTTCCACATACTGCACTGTATGCACATATGCACTTCCACATACTGCAGCTTTCACTTTAAATGCTCACTGCACTGAAAGGCTATTTTTTTCTGAAGACATTTTTGCCCTATGTTCATTTATTGGAACAACTTTTAAACCCCCCAAAATACTTGGTGATATACAAAAGAATGATACACATAAATGCTATGTGTATGTACAGATGTGTGTGTGATGGTATACTGCAGTGCTAAAATCTCAGATTTAAATATGCACAGCATCAATAATGGAGTTATAAAACAAGGGTTATTTACAAATGAGATCAATTGATAATGGTCTTTCATTGCAAAAATGTTAAATATTTTTGTAGTTAATGAAAATTATATAGCACAAATTATGTTTGTGGAGGTCATATACTGTATATCTACGGTCTACTTTTTGGTGGGCAGATACTGTTTTAAGTAATTTTGTGACAAACACAAACACAAGCTATCCCCATAAGTTGGGTCTGTTCTGGCTGTATGATACTAAATGTAAATTAGCCTATACTGGTAAAACCCCCAGAATATAATATAATAATTTGATCGTAAATTAAAACAAATTTTCAGATCTTATTGAAGTCTTTCACAATAGACGGAGTTGGAAGTTTATCTGGATGTAATGGAAAGATGCTAAAGCCATCATGGGGATTAAGCATAAAGGGAAAGCTCTATATTAACATTCCTTGTTAACTCCTGTTCTTTTGTAGGAGCCAGCTGCCACAGCACATTATGAAAAAAACAGGAGGACATATACATTACATCATTTGTCCCATAGCTATCACACAAGTTTAAACTCCCTGCATCCTATTTTTGTCCCCTGATGACTGGAAACACCCTTTATATTTTAGTGAGCTTATCCAAACCTGAGACAAACTATTCCTGCTAATCCCATAAACAGATCATAATCTAGTCTATGTTCTAATAAAAAAGTAATGCAAGGGTATGACTCGGAAACCACTCAAAAGAGAAATGACTGCAGTACATAGCTGGAATGCCTGACTGAAACAGACACAAGAGAACTGGAAATCATTGGAAAATATCATCAAAAACTTATGTGATTTTGCAAATGTACCACCTAGATATCACAATTTTAACAGACTCTAGGGATATAATTCCTTGACTTAGTTACTACTGTAGGTAATGTTTATCAGTTAGATATAATTGATGGAAGACACTTAAATACCTGATATAAAATAAACAACATTATACAGTACTTCTCACTGATGACATGGCAAAGCACAGCTTTTTTATGATAGCATGTAGGGATTTCAAATGTTGTTGTAAAGTTCATGTATAACAAAAATGTTGATGACTTTACAATTGCAACACATTACAGCTTTCTTCATGTATGTCTTTGAATGCATTAAAATAGAAAGATTGATTTAGTGGCTATGTATAAATTGATTAGATTATTTATATTTCATTTCATTATTTCATTATGCTCTTCAAAATAAAACACAAACAATGTGGGTGCCCTGTCAGAAATTACATTTCGTTGTGAACAGAGCTTTTTCATAAGTTGCAAAGTACAGAAAATGATATACCAATTTTGTTTTTCTTTGGATTTGTAATTAATTCCTTCCTGTACTGATGCACAAGCAAATGAATGTTTGACCATGGGTTTGAATAATGATAACTACAGTGCTACTTAAGTAATCATTTACTGAAAGGCAGTATTGTTTCACTGTATCCACTGCAGCATATAACATTGGAACAAATGTCTTTTATGGAACCAATATAGAGGCTTATAACTTGTACACCTACATTATCACACCACATGCCACTTGTAATACTGTGAGCCCTTTGTGACTTCCAGCAGGTTCACCTTTGATCGGGGGAGTGAAGTGGCTCACAGATAAGATACCCAACCTCTCAGATACCAGGCTAGGGCCCTCTCTGGTTGATGTACTTGGAAGCTCCTAATGTCAGAGTTCTTTAAATGCCAAAATGACAGACTGTTTCCCGAATTCTACAGTAATATAGAAATAATATTAGGTAATTTCATTGGATTTCGTGTATGAAATTTCAGCCCTGTTATGAATGCACAAGACAAAACTGTACAGTGTTCCAATGTCAAGTTACAGGGACACCATCTCATGGCACACGTGTATTTATTAGAATGGACAGCCTGAGACTATCCTGCATGAATCAGAAAAACTTGTATTCCTTTATATGACTAAAATAATGTATGTAATGCAATTCCAGTCTGCAAAGCCATTTTAAAAAATTCCAGGCATTATCAAGGAAAAAGGCTACGGCTGATTCTATTTAGTTAGCAATGTGTTAGATTTACTTTTATAGAACCAGTTTTTAACTTTTTAACTTTTTAATTCACTTTTTCAAAGGTACATTTAGCAATTTGCTCTTCTCTTGTATTTTAGAAAGTAAGACAGTGGTGTTCACAAGGAATAACAAGAATTCCTTTCAGGAATTAAGCATATTGAAAGGTTTATGAAGTTTGTTAGTCACCGTAAATTTGGTGTAACCCTATTGGATTGAACCAGGTCAACCTCCTGGCCACAGGACAAGGAGCCTGGGACCCCTTTGAAGAGTAAGGAGTGACCATGGGGCCCTGGCACAGGCGGAAATTAGGAGGAAAGACACAAAAGACACATGCAAGGGAGAGAAGGGGGGTTATTCATTGCATTTATAGTTTTTTTTTTCATGTGGAGAAATGACATCAGGAATGATCACAAATCTTTGACAGCTTAGGTTGACTGAACTTGGTCGTTGTCATCCCTCCTGAACTGTCACTCTGAACTCCATTAACAGGCAAAGAAAGAGCACAACACTACCCAACTAGTCTGAATATCATCTGGATTTGAAAGATTCACACGGGTCTCTTATTGATATCCTACATAAGCAGAACTACACATATACGACTGCCCACAAGTAACTTGAAAAAAAAAATGTTTATGTGAGAAAACCAACATCATCAACATCAACTAAATCAACAACATGACATACGAGTCAAAACTGTGAAGCAGAAGGAATCTCAGGTCAGATTAAATATTTGAACACTGCAGTGTGTGAGAAGAACAGCAACAGAGATATTGCCAGATTGTTTTGTAGTATGCACTCTTAAAATGTGGTGGTAGGAGCAATCATTCTTCTATTCTGCATCATCTTATACCTTCAGGGAGGTGAAAGGCGGCTGACTGCTTTTTTTTTTCAACTTGACAATGACCCTTTACATACTAAACTGAAATTCCTTTAATCAGGAAATTGATACTCAAATAGAGGATGCACTAAATCTAAGTCTAAAGATTATAAAAGGAGTTTTAGAGAATACTAGAAATGAAGACCACACCTATTGTAACTGTACTTTGGGAAAAGTGTCACTGACTAAGTGAATAGACTGAAATATATTAATTATACAGTATGTGAATTCTATCAGGGAAGGTACTGTGACATTGTGATGAGAAAAATGTGTAATACACTGCCAGTAAAGTATAATATTATTTGCATTTCTTTTTAAAAGATAAATACAGTACTTCCATATATTTGTATATAGAAACAGTCTATTCAGATCCTCCTTCTTTTTGAGTATTCCTAAGATTGCCAGGTGCCCCTATAATTTTGACGAAGAGTATATGTAATTAAAAATACAGGCCACTACTCAAATAGAGGATGCATAAAACCATAGGTAACTCCAATGTACTGCAATAATGCAATCTGTAAACTTAGAATGTTTTTAAATCTTGCACCTTTGTCTTTTTATCGCAACTGGGAAGACATGCCGGTACCTTTAGATAGATACTTTATTAATCCCGTGAGGGAAATTGCAGTGCAACAGCACCCTGGCACAGTGTAACGAAAAGATACAATAATACAACAATACAATACAGCAAGTACAGTCAGTGAGAAGTGCCGTAAATCAAATTATTCATGGATACTCATACATCATTCTGCTTCTATTGAAAAAGTTAATGACACATCACTATGTACTTTAAATGACAAACAAGTCTTTAATACCTACATTGAAAGAACAGATTGCTTACTTTAGACACTACTGCATCACAGAAATACCAAATTTAGAACTTTTACAGATCATTTACCTATAAAAATCCCAAATGTACAACCGATACAGAGTTGTTCCCTTCCTCTAACTCCTACAGAAATTCAAACTCTCATGCAAAGAACCCAATGACATGGCAAACTGCCTTTTTTTCTCCTTTTTCTTACACTTTGCTTTCAAATGCACTTTAAAATGCAATGAGTTGTTACTCTTTAACAAACTCTTGACTCCCCGCTTCTTCTATTAATGCCTCCTGAGGCCTTGAAAAGGGATTGTTAACCAAAAAATGGATCACATTCTTTGCATGAGGAGTTTCAGTAACACTCCATTAAATCCTTGGGCGATTAGCATTAGAGGAGCTCCTCACCTCTGAGGAGATGAGCCAGTGGCTGTACGAGCAGCTCTGGTGCCTCTTGAAGAATCTCTCTCGCTACCAGGGAGGTGGATGATGACAGCTCCTGTAACTCCTGACTGCCTCCCCATCTCTCACAGGGATTGATAACTCTGACAACGGACGATTCCAAAGCTCTGTCTTCACTGAAAATGCAAAGGGAAAGTTGTAAATTGCTTATCTACATAAGACAATGCTATAGCCCTTGGCAAGAAAAAAAATGTAAAAAAAAAATTCTCTTTTTTTTCCATTTGTTACGTGTGATTCTTGTAGCTTATTTATCCAGGAACTGCCAGCTGAGATGTGCTAGCTCATTTCCATTGGAATCCTGCTAATACCTTACCTAGTTTTCCAGCTGAGTGGATTGAACCAGAACGAGGTCAAGTGACTTGCCCTCTTTCCAAACCATCAGCCCATCCCCCTAAAATGCATTCTGTATGTTTTGTTATTTTATACACCAAACTGTTTTTCATAACTTGGGTTTTTTATTGTTCTAGCCAATAAAATCAATGCTCACGGAGAACATATATCGATAGATACACTTATTAGTTTATGAAGTCAATTAAAAGTAAAAGCAAACAGAACAATCAGTAACCAAAAAAACACCCTGAGCCTTATAGTTTTCTAAGCAAAAACTTTACTTCTTAACTCCTTAGAAGTAAAAAGTTATTAAAAGAAATTATGTATTTTCACTTGGAAAAAAAATGAATTATGCAAAAGATGGGACATTTAAATGAAAAAACAGTTTCTGTTAAGTTATGGAACCCAGAGCAAAAAGTTATAGGCATCAATGAATGTGTTTTTAATGCTGATTTCTTGTTAGGCTTCACTAAAAGGCATAGATACATTCAGTTAAGGAAGAGTTACTGAAATAAATTTGTTTCCATCTTTACTCTTTTAACCACATGATTTCTGCTATATTTTGAAAACTGGAAGAAAGTGTTAAAATAACAATTAGATTCCAGAAAAAAGTAAAATGTGTCTGTATGAACACTACAAGAACTCACATCAGTGAAAGTAAAAAAAATATAAAATTGTCTGCTTTCCTTAAAAATCAGCATTTTATGTGTTTTATAGTTCGTCAAATAATAATTTCAAAGCCCTTTAGCAAAGAATATGAGCTAAGAGCTTTTTTTTACTTTGTGATATAAAGTATATTATCATATTAAAAGAAAAGTAACAGATATCTTAAAAAAAATTAAATGTTTTAAATGTTTGATTTATATATCCAGTAAATATTATACATTACTTTCATCTTTTTGCAACTGAATTCAAATATCTTCTTGTTTTTTAGAATGGATTGTGTTTAACAATGTAGGCAAAATGTCTTCATGGCACTTAAAATCAATTACTTTTCAATAAAATACATGCCAACAAACTATTTATGAAAGGAATTAAACATTTACACACATGGTGTAAACTACTGATTACAAATGTACAACCACTTTGATGTAGAATGTCCAAATTGTTTTAGATTTCATTGAGACACCACCTTTGCTGTTGATACCAATTTCATCTCAATACACAAAGATCTGTAAAGAATTATGGGTCAGATTAAAAAAGAGTCAGTGATAAAACAAAAGTGTAATATAAAATCATACAAAAACAAGACCAAAATCCAATACCTTTGTATAAAATGTATAAAACTGAATTGAATCCACTTTTTATACTAAATGTCAAAATTAAATATACAGTTGTGAAAAAACAACTTTTCACATCCCTGTGTATCTTGAATTAGGAATGACTGTAAGTAAACCCTCTCCCAGTATCACTGAGTGTCTGCTGTGTTCAGTTTCTTTAAAACTGGCCCTTCTTCTCAGTATAAATCTACAGTATGCTTTGATGAATGATGGTGTGGCCCAAATCCTTTTCTCGCTTTCAAAACACAATCTACCCCCTGCTGTGTTTGCCTTTATGCACACATGATTCACGTATCGCCAAGCTTTTGAATTCACATCCTGAGGGAACTTTACCTTGTAAGCACATTATTGCTCAGAAGAGTTAAAGACAGTGTTCCTGAAGTATTGAGTTGACGCAGGTCAATCTCATCCCTCCAAATGAGGGAGGACTCAGAGATAGAGCTCTGCCGCAAGAATGCCCTGGTCTCATCTGGGATGTGGAGCTCCGATCTTTGACTATTCAGGACTGGCACACAGAGATCACCTGTTTTCTCTGTCTGCAATTATACATTTTAAACAGTCAATTTGTTTAGCACACATAATTCAAAATGCATTTAATTTCTACTTGTAAAATGCTGAAGGTTCTAATCATGACTTTAGATACTTTTCATTTTCGTGCACTTGGACTGTTATTAAATACTTTATAAAGTCTCAAAATGTTTAACTCTCTAATCCTTACAAAACATTAATAAGTCTAAGAGGAATGCTATAAAAATGCAAAGATGTGCAACATTTTTGTCATTTTTAAATGAAGGAAGACATTTAACATTGAATTATCCATTCATTTTCAATCTTTCTGTTTCGGTAAGAAACTGAATCATATACAGCATAATATTAATCATATTATATTTTAACATTAATTGCATTCAATGAGAAGAATCTTTAGCCATAGAATGTAATTTTTTAGAAAACAATAAAACAATTGTTTTAAGATCTAGATTTATTCCAGACAATATTTCATCTTAATTCAATGAAACACTGTTTGCCCAGCTTTTTAACATTGAATGACACTGACTCTTGTAGAGTCTTTTAATAGTTTATCTCCAAGTAACACAGATATAACAGTGTGAACATAAATAACACTGGAATTAATATAAACTCTGGCAGTCCCTATTTATTTAGGCACTATGTTACGACAGTGAACAAAGCTCATAATAAGTAGTAAATAAAATACAAAATAAAGGGAAAAAATAATCTAACCATGTTTAATAGCTACAATGACCCATGCCAAACAGTTCTCTATATTTTCCAGTGTTCACACTTTTTTACTATTGTTTCCATTCATTGATCTTGTAAAAAACAGACATGATTAAGCAATCTTGTTCTTTGGGACCACAGCCCAGTTTCAGCTTGGCTTCAGCAACTTAAATATGCAGAAAGCAGACAACAGACCTTGTGCTGGTCTAAGGTTTATCTGAAAAAGTACATTACCTAAGCACATTAATTATGTACAAGAAAGAAAACAACCAATAAGAGGAGCCCATTTAACCCATCTTGCCAATTTTGGTGATTGAAGCATATTGATCCATGAACTCATCAAGATGCTTCTACAAAAGGAAGTAATAATCCAACAGTTCACATTCCTTTGCCCTAGACAGACATCAGCTGTGAAAAATTCCAAACAAACAACAATCTAGCAAATTCCCAATATATCCTTAAAGTTTAAACAGAAACATAGGCAATTTGATCATTAATGTGTGTACTAAAATTACTCTTAAAAGACAGGTAATCACACAAGTCTATCAAGGAGTTTACTTCTGATTTTACAAATCTTAAGGAAAAACAGATGGTTATTTCTATCATTAAAAATATCAAAAATGAGTAGAAAAGAATACCTGCTGTAGGAAAAAGGCATAGCCCAATATGGAAGCTACACAGTCAACTTCCGCACTGTTATTTCCCAGAACAGCATGGACTTTAGGCAGCTCAGATCCAGACACCTGGAACACATTACGAAATCAAACTATTAATATTTTCTTTTGACACTGTTATACTTCATGTTGAAAGGCTGTCCTGTCAGATTCCAGTGTAAGACATTAGGAAAGACACATCACATTTGGAAATTGATCTGGTTAACTCATTGTGTTAGATTTCTTCAATTTATTCACTTAAGATCAAATATTGTTCAGGGTAAAAGCAATGTAGTACAGAAAATATTCCAATTCTCCTCAAACAGACAGTTGAGGAGCCTATATTCTAGAGAGAACCTTCTGATTAAAGAATATTTTATACATCTTACACTAACGGTCACTGATACATTTAGCAACAATTAAGTGAAAGTAAAGAAATTGATCAGTAATATAAAATTCCTGCAAAACAATTACTGCAAGAGTAAGATATGAAAAGTTCAGCATAAAATTGAAAGTGTTTTGAAAGTAGAGAAGCTCAGGAGAGTTGAAAGATTAAAAAAATGTAACAGTAATACTTTTCTGCTAAATTCCATTGATAACTAGAAGACCATTAGTATTGAAGTAACAAGTAATAAGTTTATTCCATGCTTACACCTGAAGAAGGCTCCACAGCCAAAACATTGTTTTCTTTCTTCTCTTTTCAGCATGGAATAAACCTATTACTTGTTCCTTTGCAGCCTACGCATGCTGACTCAGCTACCCACCTGAACTATTAGTATTGAACACTTCCAAGCAGGTCCCTACCCTGATACCCACTTTATTTAATTATAAATTAACTTAGGGTAAACATCAGAACCTAAAGGGAAGCTAGAATGGCACCCACCATATTTGAATAATGCTAACGTTACACGGGTCATTTTATAAAGCCTGTAATGGCCAAGTTTGGGCAAATACACTATCACTGCAATCACTCAGGTGCCGTGCGAGGTAATGAGAGGTGGCTATATGAGAGAGCTACCTGTTAATGGACACAACTTGTGGAATGAGGCATACCTCATCCGATTACGCAATTAGCACTAGGAGTGAAACTCCACATGAGGGAAAAAAGAGGCATTAGGACCTGATGGAACAGGGTGTCGGTTCTCAGTTTACCAGCATACTTTCATGTCACTGGCAAGAGAGTCTAGATGACATAAATTCAATCTTGTATACTCCCTGTGTCTGTGTCAGTCTCAGAACAACAAAACCCTTTGCTGCTGTATCAGACGTGCAAGGTTTATTAATTAGTGGTGTCCCTTGCCAAACTGGGTCAGCCAGAAGAGTTAGTGATAAGAAAAACTAACCATTGTTTGTTAACGAAGATCTGATGCATGGTGAAAAGTGAGAAAGAAGAGTCATGTTCTAGTGCTTATTGATGTGAACATAAGGAGTAAGTCTTGTTCAATGTTTCAAAGCTTAATGTGTAAAGTAAAAAGCGGTCAACTTTTCACTTTAACTTTACTAGTAAAGTAAAAACTGAAAACTAGGAATTATCCGTGAAGCCAAGTTTAATGTCCCAGTGTGTTTAAGAGTTGTTAGTGTTGTTAAAGCTCAGTATAGCAATATATACTATTTTTGAAGTGGCAGAAACTTTTTAACAGATTTTACAACAGTAGGAGTTTCATAAACTGTATACAGACAAATAGGCTGTCTGCACTTCTGACCAAAAAGAAATAGTGGTCAGATGGCCACCTTGGTTTATGATAATGTAAAGTATAACTGACTGTGTTGCTACACCTGCACCCACGATAGACAGATATGTTTAATTAACCCAACAAGTTTTGAGCTCAAGCACTTTGCATGATGGGACATTTTTAGAGAAATGTTCTGTGTCCCATTACAAGCATGAAATCTATTAATTTAGCTAATTAATGAAGGGCAAATGTGAAAAAAAAACTTTAGATAGTTACAAAATTCACGAAGTTTGGATTTAGTTGGTGCTGTGGTTCATAAGGAGTCTCTAAAAGGGTTTGTGAATAAAGAGGTCAGCTTGACATTTTGTTAGATGCAGGACCTCAGTCTTTATCACATGGCACAGTACATTAGATATACAGGTAGGACCACTAAAAAACAAAGTCACAAGGAAAAATGTTTCATTAATGTACTACACTCCTTCTGAGACAGCACCAAAAATATCTTAAAATTAAACACAACATTGCTTTTCAGAGTATAATGCAGGAACAAGATTGTAGAAAAATGCAGAAACCGTCTACCTGCTTAGAAAGAACACTGAGAATTATAATAAACAAAGTGTTGACACTTCTAATTGAGGACTTCCTTCATACATAATTTAAAGACAAAGATATTAAAATAACATAACCACATACAGAATAGCCAGTAGGTACATTTCAACTACAATGTTTAATTGTCTGTGCTGAAAATACATCAGTTCCACACTGTGGTTCACAAGCACTGGAGGGATCATATCATCTTACTTGATGATAGGTCTTCTCTTGCCTTTGCAAAATCATATTTGAAAATAGGTAGCAGAAATACAAAACACTGACATTTAATGGGTATTCTACCAGTGCAAACTTTGGATATACTGTAAAACTCCTTTGCAATCCACACAGAAATTATAATTATTAGATAATATACACCTTGAAAAAACATAATTTAATCAAACTAAAGCATTGATTAAGATGATCTGAAATAAATGTACTCTAGTTTCTAGTTCCACTTTTTTATGCACTCTGATATAAAATACTTGTATTGTGAGCAATATTTTATTGTTTGTATTGCCTGAGACATAACAGTGATTAAGAGAAATATTGGCAATACAACATCTCTGGTAAGTGCTTAATTTGTACATCACAAGGTGCCAGATAACTCAATCTCTGAATGAGAGACCAAGAACGAACTTCTTTTAAATTATTTTTAGTGTCTTTATTGTTCTGTATTTATAAGTAACACATTAACTGTACACTATATTGTATTATCTGCATAATTATTATATTGTATTATCTGTATTATTTTGATCACATTATTGATTAATGTGTCACTCGTGTACTATAAACAGATGCAATTTTAATTTAGAAATGTTATATGCTGCCCCCATTTTCTTTATGAATTATTTAATATAGCATAAAGAGGAGAACATGTGACCTTATTCTTGTAAATCATAGCAGATTCTGTTGAGATTACATAAGAGGCCTGAACAGGAATAATTTGTTTTCTATTGATTTCACAATTGTTTTTGTAATTGAGCAGCACAATTAAGTGATTTGTATGATGTTCTAGAGCTTATTACCTTTGTTATGTTAGCTGTCTATAGGAAACAGACACTCTGTGATGTTAATTTGGATATGGCCTGAACCTTTCTTATGTTCTTACATGCATATTAGGAATTATAACAAATTAACAAAACCCCTCTAACTTAATCACAATCTGTAAGATAATATCTGGGCTAAAAACATTACTTTTTAAAACTAAAGGCTATCTCTGATACACAGAGCTCATGTTGGTTCTTACCGAAGACAGAGTCCATATCATAAAACAGCAAATTTATTTGAATACCATTCTAGAGAAGACCAATCCAATAATCATCCGTCTATTAAATATATGGTTCGAATTCATTGAACAAATAGTGGGATGGCAAATACAAGGAGCACTTTATGTTTACATGGTAACATTCAGAACAACTGTATTATACAGTAACAGAAATATACTGTTTAATTAATACCATAACAAAATGTAAAATGTGCAAAGCAAATAAATAAAAGAATAACCATAAGCATGAATCAATCTCACATGATGCAAATGGCTGATAAATCATTCAGTTATTACAGAGATACAGATAGCACACAGTTAATAATACACTGACTACAACACTTGGATTCATAGTCAACTTTATACTATTACAATAACATCCCCTCACTCAAAAGTCAAACAAATCAATTACTTTCCTGAATTAATCTTTATCAAACACATACTAAGAAATAAAGCTTAATTTATGATTTTTATCATGAAAACATCAAATGTATACTCATTTGAATTAGACGGTTAGCCAGGCACAATCCAGATTACCCAGGGCAGAGGAATACTGGATCTGGTTACTAATACTGGTATCTAAGTATACTGGATACTTAGATCTGGGATCTATGTCTGTTGGTTCTGTGTCAAATAGTCCAACGGCTCCATACTAGAGGATCTGCTGTTGGTGCAGGTGAAAAGAGAGAAGGGTCCACTTAGTGCATTTTACACCGGGGAGAAACTCCAGAGAAATTCTGCTCACCCATTTGTTGTCGTTGCTAGTCTGAATATTTCATAATATTCAGCAGTGTCTACATAACTCCAGCTATTTTACTTCATTGATCAGGGGAAATGTCTTTTAGTGCAGATGAAGTCTTGGGCGGAATTCTATTTCCATATGGTTTCCCTGCCTGGAATTTACCTTCAGCTAAATTGATTGTAGTTACCTTTTACCTGTTTATGTGATTCGTTAATTTTCAAGTTGCCAAGGTTTCGGAGAGTGTCCCAGCTGTCTTTGCCGTGACTTTTACGATGTGTTTTTCTGCATGGTGACTCATCATGATGTCATTAAGTGTACTGGGCATCCCCCACATGGCTTGTTCCTGATTGGTGGATTATTCCTGCCCTGTCAGTGATTTATGACAGGTGGATTTATGACTCCTCCAACTGGAATTTCAGTACAGAAGTGTCTCCCTCTTGGAGTTGCAGACTACCGAGGCATCAATATATCATAATGGATCCAATTTATGATGTCCTGGTTTAGGTCAAAGAGACAGCACATCTGGTTTATCAGAGTCCCATCACCCAAGAATTCCTAAGAAGTTGACTCAAAAGACTTAAGGACCAGGTTCATTTTCCATTCAAGGCAAGAGAAAGATTATGATGATACTCTTTCTGAGCACTTAATTCTTTACATAATAATTGCTTTACGGCTATATAACATTCAACTGTTTTAATGCAAAAATTAAAACTTAATTTGAACATGGCAGTGATTTGGTAATAGTCCGGGTAACATATATTTAATACATCTGCAAGAGATAATAAATTAGCAAGAGCCAATGTCTCCCTAAGAGAGCATA